GTCATTCCTAGTTTTAAAGATTAAAATCTGGCCAAGCCAATCTCTGAACACAAGAAGAGGGTCTGAGGACATTTAAGAGTGGGAAGAGATGGTTTTCTTGCTCATCTCCTAATCAGAAGCTTCGTGCTGCCACAGGGGTAAATTACCTGTACTGCGGTTTACACCGATGTTTATCTAACCCCAAACTAGCCATCCCTTATCAAGACCACCAGCATTCAAGATAAAGATTTAAGTATAGTACCATAAGAGCAAGGGTTTAGTGCATTCTTGAAAATCAAATTACCGTATGATATTATCATCTGACAATAAAACATAGTGTAAAGCTAATCTGTAGATTTACTTGGCCTATATAACCAAATTTCTAACTCATGATGTAGCCTTCTGGTGTAATTGTTTTTCGGTAATTTTAATTTTTGACTGTCTTTTTTTCCCTCAATCTATTAACTAGCTGGTAACCAAGTAGTAAAATCTGGAACTGATGCTATATGTACTTATGTACTTCCCTCATCATGACTGCTTTTTGTAAAGATCATAATAATATTATATATGAAGACCAGCTGAAATTTTCCCTCTCTCAGGGAGTCGTTCTTAATCAACACCAACCAAGTAGTTCTCACGTCCATAATCTCCTCTCAGATAGTTTTCTTCAGAGCATTTCACATTCTCATATGCTCTAACATCATCGCTATGAGTCACGTCATCTGAGCCCCTGGCTACCACCATCAAATACCCATTTGCTAAGACTCCTCTTTTGCTTGCTTTTTCACAATATAAATGTGATGTGTTGAGGGCTTCCATTCTTCCTCCTGAGGCTTTTTACCCACAATTATCAACAAAGCTTGTTTCCTCCCTTTTTTCCAGTGGTCTTCTCAGATGTCGCAGTCACAGGGGTCTTTCCTTGATGTGTGTGTGTGTGTGTGTGTGTGTGTGTGTAGTGATCCATTGTCATTTGTTCACTTTTATTTTTACCACCAGCCTCACACTTGTATGTGTGTATTCTTTGTATCCCTCTCACTAGCATGCAAACACCATTAGATTTTACCTATTTTGCTCAACTGGCACTACCACAGTGCTTCGAACAGTATTTGGAATAAGGTTGACACTCAGTAATTTTTAGTAAATCCATCCCTTGACATTTGTCTCCTCTAGTAGTCTCTTTAGACTCATTGGGGCAAAAAACCTTTCTTCTTGCATTCCCATAGCATCGGTATGCAACAGGTGATAACGGTATACTGAACGAATGGATGAGTGAGTTGCTTAAAAAAGAAACCTTTGCCTAGTGGCCCCTACTTATGACCGAAATTAGAATCGTCATTTGTCTAGTTTCTCAATATACACTGACCCCAAATAAAATGTGACTTATAATAGGACCTCAGTAAGTAAATAAAGAATATCAAGAAACACTAACTAAGCAGGAATCTACTTTGCCCATTGCAGACCCCCAAGGTTTGAAGTATTGACTAGTCCAATTTCTTGATGACATTAGAAAATAATCTTTGGATATTCATAGGGATGTGAAAGCCCCCAAGTCACCCTGACTATCCCTTTAGGCCAGCCTGGATCTTTTAAAATCTTACTTTCCAGACAAAAAAACCCAGATGAATATGACTTCTCAGTCTTACTTTCAGTTATCTCGTTTGAATTCATAGTGAGTAAATCTCAATTTAAAGCCTGTAGCTTTGATTTGTTTCCTTAGAAACTTTCCATCAAGATTCCATATGTGTGTGCGTGTATGTGTATGTGTATGCATGATGTATGTACATACGCATATATGTATGCTTGTATATGTGCTGCCAAAGGACACTAAGCAAGATTTAAATCTCCCATTTAGAGGTAGCGTAGCCTAAAAATCATCATTTTTTATTTCTTTTGTGTTTTATGTTTGTGTAAATTAAAGTACTAGAAATTAACCGGAAGCCCTAAAATCATAGCGTGTGTGTTCTCATTTGCCGAGATGCACTTTGTTGTTCCTGACAAGAGTCTTATTTCCTTCTTCCCAGCTACAATCCTGCTTGGGGCCTGGTGACACAGGCTTTAATTCCTAGTACTCGGGAGGCAGAGACAGGCAGATTTCTGAGTTCAAGGCCGGGCCTGGTCTACAGGGACAGCCTGGATTGCACAGAAAAACCTTGTCTTGAAAAATCAAAAACCAGGGCTACTGAGACCTCAAGAACAATGACAATGGGTTTTTGATCCTACTGCACATACTGGCTTTGTGGGAGCTTAAGCAGTTTGGATGCTCACCTTACTAGACCTGGATGGAGGTGGGTGGTCCTTGGACTTCCCACAGGGCAGGGAACCCTGATTGCTCTTTGGGCTGATGGAGGGAGGGAGACTTGATCGGGGGAGGGGAAGGGAAATGGTAGGCGGTGGCGGGGAGGAGGCAGAAATCTTTAATAAATAAATAAATTAAAAATAAGAAAAATCAAAAACCTAAGGCAAAGCCTTGGTTAGCAGCTGTGGCTGATGAAAATCCACCAAGTCAATAGGAGAAAGGTTCCTAGGAGCCTCCCCATGTGTGCCCTACCAACCCTGTGAGCTCTGCGGTACTGACACCAGGGTTGTATCTCAGTTTGGTATGAAATCCCCATAACCAACTGATCTTGATTTACCTCAGGTTTTAGTTCACTAACACCAATCTACATTAGTTTGAGATTTCCAGCACAAGCCACGGTCTACGAGGAAATCGAGGATGGATTCAGAAATGGCCTTATTGCTCAGGAAGCTCCACCTACTGGGGGCGGGAACAAAACTAACAACCGGTTGTAAACTCTTTGGAGGGACCAAAAAAACTTTGGGTGGAACAGTTTAGGGTATATCTAACGGCACCCCAGAGCTTAGTGTGATCTAGTCTCCAGTGGGTGGCCACTGAAGCCTAAGTTAGGGTAAAACTGCATAGTAGAGCAATCACCAGTAAATGAACAACAGAGTTGAGCCCTCCCTGTTCAAGGACAATGTTTAGAATCCCACGATCCATCAACCTAATAATAATAAAATTCCCTGCTCGATCATGTTAAGGTACTATCACAATTAAATAGAGGGAAGATACTTTATTGACAGTTTTCTCATTCACCAAACAGTTAAAGCCAGAATGGATAGATGGTTCATTCAAATATCCACCTAGTTAACCTATGTAAATACTTCCTGGGTTACTGTATGGATCTAATCACAGACGGGTGCCATTTGAGTCTAAACAAGAATGCACGTTAAATCTTTGTCTGCCTAACACCTCCCCTGAACAACTGACTGGGGCACCTAAGGGCTAAGATACCACCCACCCCAAAGTGGGACAGTTGTCTTAGTAATAGTAGCAGTGAGATAGGAACTTGTTTGGGTATGCGCTCTTCTTGGACCGTTAGCTTCTAACGGAGTTAGAACGTGGACTGTTGAACGCAGTTAAACTTGGGATGGTTAATGACTGTAATTTAGTAATGTGACAATATAAGAACTCATCACATTAAAACAGAAATACTTGGGAATCCCATCGTCTTTAATAGCTTACCATCTGCTTGGCTCTTACCAGCAGTGGATTTATCCTGCTTAGTAGAGACGATATTGGGGGGTAAAATCATAGATTAGACGGCGGATTTCTGAGCTCTTTACTGTTATTAATTTGCAAGCGTGTAAACGAACATTTCCCAACATAAAAATCAATTATGTTTCAACTCTCACCCCAAGTGAGGTTGCTATGGGCTCCACATAATATCTGTTCTGGCACCAACAGACTGAGGTAAAGTCACCGGAGATCTCTCTAAATTAAGAACCTCAAACAGAGTTTACCAGCTTTGCCACTGTGTTCCGCAGCAGGATGCTCTTTTTGCCTTGCTGGGCCCGCTAGTTTAATCTCCCAGAAAGAGAAATTTTAGAGGGACAAGGACTAAATCATTTTCTTTTGAGCACAGCATTTTCAAATGGCTGCCCCGGGTCCTAAGCCCCGCCGCTTCGGACCCGAGATAGAGGTGCCCTCTCTCTGCAGAGCAGGGACTCTGGCGCTCTATACCTGGACGTGGGGAAGGCGAAAGGAAACTCCCCCTCACAGTTGGGTACCACTCATGTGCACTACGCAGGCCCCAAGCTTAGAGGAGAAACCAGTAACCAGGCTTGGGAAGGTTTGAGGAGGAGGCAAACGCTGTTTCCCATGAAGCCAAAGAGTAGGACGCACAGGTCACAGGCGAGAAGTTAAACTGTTACCAAGCCTGCGCTTTGTCCCCGCGCTGTCTGCAGCCCAGGCACGGAGGTGCACTTGGTTGGCGAAGAACTAGGTTGCTTTGGAGCAAAAGACAGGAGTTGCTACCAGCCTGGAACTGCAGGCGGAGGGAGCCCTGCGAACCAGCGACCCAAGCTGTAGCTCCGGACGGGAAGCCGGAGCCAAGCCAGCTTGCCTCCGGGGTGCAGCGTCCCCTAGCTCGCTAGGCTGCCCAGGTTCCGCTCTGCCCTTTCGCCCGAGGGCAGCGCCCTGGCTCGGCAGCCCGGCGGCCGTGCACCCAGCTACCCTGCCAAGCGCCCTACCGCCCCGGGGCGATCTCACAGTCACCGCAGCAGCACAGATCCTGTCTCCAGCACGGGGACAAACTTCCTCCCTCCGGGTCCTCGGGCCGGCAGTTGTTAGCTGGTTTCCCCCACTGGTCCCTTTACTGCTCTGGCTTGAAGAGCTTTCTCTGCCCCTCTCCAGTTACCAGCGCTCAGTGGTTTCCGCACATCCTCTCCAACAAAGCCGGGGCCCAGAGGCGACCCGGCAAGGGACTAGGACTGGAGGCTGAAGCATTGGAGCCCTGACAAGGCATCCACGCCCCGGCGAGCGCTGCGAGAAGGGGCGGCAGGGACGAGGCGAGGAGAGAGGGGTAGAAAGTGTCCTGCTCCGGGCGCGAAAGCCTCCTAGACTGATCGTCCTCGCCCAGTTGCCCCTAGCCGAGCGCATCCTGCTGTCCCAGTGGGACTGGGCAGGGCGATGGGGGAAGCTGTGCGGACTCTGTGGCCTGATGTACCAGCCGCTCCCTTACCTCTGTCCAGAGTAAGCGGCTGGACCACTGTCAATGTCGCCATGTCTGCCTTGGGAGCCGAAGTGACGCTCGGCTTCAGCATCAGCAACCGCTTGTAGTGAGAAAAAGAGGAGGAGATTGGGGGCGGGGGTGGAGAGGGAAGACGGAAAGGAGGGGGAGGAGGGGGAGGCAGGAAGGTGGTGATGGAGGAGAAGAAAGCTCGGGTGGGTTGGTAGCCAGATGGAGACTCAACTGTTGTGCCCAGGCGAATCTTCAGACGCGGCGCCAAGCAGGGCAGGTATCCGCGAGCGCCTGCATGGCCAGGCGCTGAAAAAGGAACGCTCAGCCCTAGAACTTCGCTCCTCCGCCCATGAGCTCTGGCTGGGTGCAGCTGGTTAGGTGTCTTTCAACTTTCCACCCAAGCGTTAATGGTCAAAATACACTTGTACACAGAGAAAGAGGGCACGGAAACGGGAGAGAGAGATGGGGGGGGGGCAGAGGGTTGGTGTTTTGGGGGCTATTTTTTCTGGAAATGGGTTGGCTTTCAGATTAAAAAAATTTTCAACCTACTAATCCCACACCCCTTTAGATAGAAAGTACCACTGGCAATGGTAGATGCTCCTATATCGTTGTAGCTGCTATTAATTTCTGTTGAAGCTTTTTTAGAATGTTCCCTCCCAACAGTACGAGGTAACTGACTGAGGGCCAGGGTTCTATAGGTAAGTGTTCACTTAGGAGTTGGGTGTATCGCCTAGGAAATGACCTGCCTTTACAAGCAAACTTCCTAACAATGTTTTAAAATGAAAAACCGGTCTCTGTCATAGAAAAAAAAAATACCCATCTAGGATTTTTTCACATTAATCTAGGAGAAGCATGTATTCCGGGGTGTTACTTATTAATTAGCATATGTGAAAAGAATTGAGCCAAGAGAGTTACATACACTTACTATACGCCCTCGATTTGTTCTTTCCCTGCAGCCTCTGATTGCGGGGGCATAATATTAAAGGGCTTATTTCAGAGTCAGCTGACCAGCATTCAGTTGCTAGAGCCTTCAAGTACTGTAAGCCTCTTTATCTCAACTTTCAGTAAATTTCTACCAAGGCTGATGTCCCTATCAAACGATGAAGAAGCATGGATAAGCCTCCTATAGGCATAATGTAAGCGACTGGGAAAAAGTGCCTGGAAGACAATGCTGCCCGTCCGTGTGACAGCTAACTTATCATTGTGACTCCCAAGGACCTCTCAGGGGCAGACCTTGGGTTGCAGCAAAGTATTTGCATACAACCAATGCCATGTTCTTCTAATGACACCAAGAGATAGAAAGCAGTAGACTTTCACCAGTGACTGAGATAGTCGAAGATGACTGACCATTTTTGACTACGTCTAGTCATGAAATTCAGCTCTTTATTGCACATATTATCTGACAAACTCACAGTCTCTTGTAGATGCCCAGCCTCCTCACCTGGCAAACAAGAGGAACAACTTCCTTCAGTTGCACAGTGATCTGGTAACATGAGGAACCTGAGTCTCCTCTACAAGGTCCCTGAGATTTGTGAGCTGCCGATGGGTTTAGTAAAAGAGATATACTCCCGTGTGTGTGTGTGTGTGTGTGTGTGTGTGTGTACAACAACGAGAGAAATAGAGACCATGAATGAGAGAGAGAGAGAGAGAGAGAGAGAGAGAGAGAGAGCAACGAGCCAGTACATGGGGATGATTAGAGGTGGAAACAGGGAAATTATGTAATTATCCATTAATTAAAACTTAAGGAGAATGAAAAAAAAGGAATATATTTTGTGGTGCTCAGAAATGGCACTGTAGTTAAAAGCACACATTGTTCTTGCACAGGACTTAAATTCAGTGTCCATTACAGACATTAAGTGTCTCATAGCTGCCTCAAACTTCATCTCCAGGGGTCTCTGATATCTCCTCTGACCTCCTCAGGCATCCGCACTCTGATGACCAGACCACAATTAAAAGTAAAATAAATCTTTAAAAATTGATATACTTTGGGAATAGTGGATTCTATGTATATGCCTGCAGGCCAGCAGAGGGCACCAGACCTCATTACAGATGGTTGTGAGCCACCATGTGGTTGCTGGGAATTGAACTCTGGACCTCTGGAATAGCAGGCAATGCTCTTAACCACTGAGCCATCTCTCCAGCC